TCTGTGTTTCTGTGTTTCCGTGTTTCTGTGTTTCTGTGTTTCTGTGTTTCTGTGTTTCTGTGTTTCTGTGTTTCTGTGTTTCTGTGTTTCTGTGTTTCTGTGTTTCTGTGTTTCTGTGTTTCTGTGTTTCTGTGTTTCTGTGTGTCTGTGTTTCTGTGTTTCTGTGTTTCTGTGTTTCTGTGTTTCTGTGTTTCTGTGTTTCTGTGTTTCTGTGTTTCTGTGTTTCTGTGTTTCTGTGTTTCTGTGTTTCTGTGTTTCTGTGTTTCTGTGTTTCTGTGTTTCTGTGTTTCTGTTTTTCTGTGTTTCTGTGTTTCTGTGTTTCTGTGTTTCTGTGTTTCTGTGTTTCTGTGTTTCTGTGTTTCTGTGTTTCTGTGTTTCTGTGTTTCTGTGTTTCTGTGTTTCTGTGTTTCTGTGTTTCTGTGTTTCTGTGTTTCTGTGATTCTGTGGTTCTGTGGTTCTGTGGTTCTGTGGTTCTGTGTTTCTGTGTTTCTGTGTTTCTGTGTTTCTGTGTTTCTGTGTTTCTGTGTTTCTGTGTTTCTGTGTTTCTGTGTTTCTGTGTTTCTGTGTTTCTGTGTTTCTGTGTTTCTGTGGTTCTGTGTTTCTGTGTTTCTGTGTTTCTGTGTTTCTGTGTTTCTGTGTTTCTGTGTTTCTGTGTTTCTGTGTTTCTGTGTTTCTGTGTTTCTGTGTTTCTGTGTTTCTGTGTTTCTGTGTTTCTGTGTTTCTGTGTTTCTGTGTTTCTGTGTTTATGTGTTTCTGTGTTTCTGTGTTTCTGTGTTTCTGTGTTTCTGTGTTTCTGTGTTTCTGTGTTTCTGTGTTTCTGTGTTTCTGTGTTTCTGTGTTTCTGTGTTTCTGTGTTTCTGTGTTTCTGTGTTTCTGTGTTTCTGTGTGTGTGTTTAACAAGACCTATCAGTGGACCGTTTAATTTGCAAGTGTTTTTGTTGTTTCTTTTGCAAGAGACTGCGGTTTCGCTTAGGTTCCAGCTGAATGGGAGGAAGCCCACGTGTTGCCATCCCTTAATTACTTCCCAATTGTTTGTTCAGTGCATTTTTTGGTTGGATGGCCGACCTATTTCGCGAGTACTTCCGAGTTTGCGGTAACCGTTCATATCTCCTGCAAAAGGTGTTTTTGCAAACCCATGTTGGCCGGCAACCTTCTGGTAAATATACAGGCCCTGGTGGGCATTTCCATAAAGGCGGGCAGGATCAAATGTATCCAAAACAGGCAGTCCTTCGTCCTCAGTAGCCCATGGCAAAAGGAGCTACAGCAAAACCTGCAGGCCGCTTTGGCATCGCCATGCTTTGTGTTTCGCCGTGGGGCTCTAACGGGTGCAAAGCCTTGACCTCCGTCGCGCCCGAATGCTAACTTCCTCAAAATCGTCCGAAGAGGCTTTGCGCGAAAATATGATTGGGGGACACTGGAGGTTTGATATTCAGGGCCGTGAACATCAAATTGAACCTTTCCCAGGGCAACGGTATGTGTTCTGAAGTTGAGTTGCAACGTCGCTTTGTGCGACCCTGGGTCCTAATCCATTCGTGAGAGGCAGAGGGTCCTTTTGTTTTGGTTGGCCAATGATACTTTGGCCAAAATGTGTGTGTGTGTGTGTGTTTGTTTTCTTGAGGGAACCCCTTTTTTGGGTGTTTAATTGGGAACCAACCGGAAAGCCGCTAGCCGCCGTTTTGGTGTTCTCCTATCTTGACAAACCCAAGCCACCGGGCATGTCCTTGTTCATGCTAGTTGGGAGGCCTTTTTTTGAGCGCCGCCGGGATGAGGTGGTTTGGTGCGGTGTTCAGATTGGCTTCACAAAAAAAACACAAGTTTTTAAAGCAAGACCGGGGAGTCCAAGTGCCCTCGGCCCAGGTGATGTACCTCGGCCCGGACCCCCGGCCTTCCAAGAGCGGGCCGAGCGTCACCTGGGAGGGGGGGGTCTCAAAGTGCACTTTGGAGCCCTTGTGTTTGGTCTTTCAAAAGGAAAGCCCGAAACACCACGATGTGACCTGGGACCCGCAGCCCAAAGACGGATTTCCTGAACCCTTCGATCACCGGAATGTTCGCGGTTGGCAAATGATTCACTTGGATTGATAGCGTCCATCGTCGAGGTCCCCGACAGGCTAGACTTTTCTTTCCAAGTCCTTTGGGCGAGTGAGTTCTAAAGAAGTATCTAAATAAGACAGTGGATATAGGGGGGCCCACCCCAAAAAATGAGAGGTTCACCCAACTTGCCAATAGTCGGGGAGAATGTTGCCGGTGGCTTCTATGGCTGGATTGGAGGTTGACTTTGGAGTGGCCTGTGTTTGGCCAGGCGAAATTGATCAAATGACTAGAGGCAGGCTACGCGTCGTCTTAGGGCGCCCCACCCTCAAGTTCCCTGAGAGGCAGCACCTTCCAAGACCTGTATGTTCACGCCACGAAATTGACTAGGGAGCCACACAAAAAAGTTGGTGGACACAAATCCCCACCCAAATGAGGTCCACCAAGGGGTCTATTGAAATTCAATCCCATACTGTGGTTGGACAAAATCCTGCATCACCTCAGAAATCCTGGTTTCTGATAATTCCCCTGTGAATACCAACGAAGAACATTGGTTTCAACCATAGTTTCTTAGGTGGTGCAAACCTAGATCCCCCAGTAGTGCCCTTTCTCAACCCTTTGTTGGTTGGGAGGGTTCCCCTACTAAAATAGACTACAGAACAAAAATCGGGTACCAACTTATTCTAACCTCTCAAATCTGGAGGGCCTAGAAACGGATTTCGTCCATCCACAGCATGAGCCTCTCAGCCGGCACCTCGTGAGGCTCCGGGGAGCAACGGACACCGCTGCACTGCGCGCCTCGGACGTTCGGCAGCTTTTGCGCCCGAAGCGCTGGATGGGTCTACTCGCTTCCTGAGTTCCGTTGCTCGCTTGCCCAAAGCGAATTGACTTTTGATTTCCCCTGTTTGGTCCATTGCGCCAAAAGGGTAACCTTTTATTTCTGGGTCCTTTGGGTAGCTGAGTTCGTGCTTGTGGGTTTGGACCTTTTGAGCGGCAACCACATTTGGACTTACTTTGTCCCTCAAGGGAGTCCACCCTTTTGTGTGGAAGTGCACAGACCCCTTTTGGAAGGCAGTTGTTCGTGCTTCCAGCTGTTATATTGGTCAAGTTGGTAACGATGGAATGTCGGCTCGTAAGGCAAAATTCCAAGCTTCCCTTCACAGAAAACATGTCCTTCCAGCAACGAGTGCCTGGTTAGCGCCCATCTTTTCAAAAACCATCATTCGAAGAACATATCTCCTTTTGGGGTCCATGCCTGTTTACAAGGTGAGAACCATTTGATCAATGTCCGCATTTGAGCCTTTTCCCACTGAAAGGCAATGGTCTGGTTTCCTGGGACTGTTTCAGACGAATGAGCAGATTTCCCAGCAGCCAGCAATTTGTGCGTGTCTTTCTGAGAGTTTCCCTCTTACGCCTTGGGATTGCAACGAGGCAATTAGCTCTTCCAGGTCCTGGTTCCACAATGTTCCATATGCAACCTGGCTGTTGATCCTTTTTTTGGTCCTTTTCCCAGGGTAGTTCATCCCACAATGTAAACGCACGCCTTGGTGAGTGTGTCAATCTAGCCGCGGGAGTGTGTCAATCTAGCCATGGCAACTCCTTCCACTTGTCGCAAACGCCAGAGTTCCTAAATGTTCCTAACATACTGCAAATGAACCATGTTCCGCTGTGTTCGGTTTCACTGTTGAGTATGACCCGACCCTGGCTGCAATTTGGTTGGATCTTTAACTCTTTCACTTTTTCGGTAAATTTTCAAACCACAAACACAATTGAACCAACCCGCCAAACCACACACCAACAACAATTGTCAACATCCCACACGTAGACAGTTTCTGGTTTTCCGAGCAACCCACCAAACACGTTCAACCTGTGCGGCTTTGCCATCCGGTTTAGGTCACACTCCGTGGGCCCCGAACCATGAAACATAATACGTAATGACACATTGGTCTCTGCAAAATTGAGTTGGGTTTTAACTAGTAACTAGTACCCCATTTCAATGTGGCCCAGGATCGAAAATTGGTTTCCAGGACAAACTTTATGCCAGGGTCTTTGAAGCAACCCTGATAGGCCTTGATGCGTAGTACGCGACGCCGCAACACGGTTGGGGTATTCTCGCTCTTGGCCAGTTGAACCCCTTCCATTTGTGTAAGAATAGTTTTTCGTGTTCCCCTGTTGGTTTGGTTTCAAAGAGAGTTTATTACTACTGGGAGTATGGCGTTTTTTCTAGGGGACTGAAGCAAATAGAGGACAAGAGTAGTGTGATTGTTCTGGAGTCTTGTTTGGCAGCCTGTGTGCCATCTACAATCGTCCTGTTGGGGACATCCCTGCCCCCCCCTTGAAAGCCACTCCGAACCACCCCACAACTTATTTGGCAGAGACCCCCGTAGCCTCCTACAGTTGGGGGCACAAAAACACCACGGGTTCAAAACGGACGATTGGCCAACCCTGATCCATATGGCTGGAAAGGAGGCCAAACCTTTTGCAACCCAAAACAGAGAAGTCGGTTGCGAAGTTCAGGGTTTCCGCAATTTCCCTTTTGGAACCTCCAAAAGTGGGAGTTGTCCAAAGAAATCAATGGCGAATTGCAACTTTTGAAGGGGAAAGCCAGAGACCCCTTAGTTTGTTTGGTGAATTTTCATTTGGGCCAAATGGTTGGAAGTTTGATCAAGGAGCCATTGAACACCGGACGCCTTAGGACCCCACTGAGAACATCACCATTGTGGTCCAGGCGCGCGCCACGCACGGTTCGGTCAATTTGTTTTCCGATTTGTCCATGGTCCAGTGGTCCATTTGGGGTTCGGGGCATGGGGGGACTCTGGGTGACAGTTTTTTCTTCCCCAGAATTAGTTCCCTTTTTGTTTTTGCCTTTTTGGGGTCCCCTTTGTTTTCCACTAACCAGCCAAGCATATGTATTTGTTGCTGGGGTCCTAGCTCCAGCCAAGTTTTTTGGAAGTAAGTACCACTTGGCACGGAACTGCGAAGAACCACTCCTTTCCAGAGAGGCAAACTGATTGCTACGGTCTATGGTCCATTTGCGAGGCCATGGGGGGGAGGCCCATGTTCGTAAGAGTAAATTTTGACCGTGGCTTACCTGGGACTTTCTCTAAAGATGGGCCAATTCGAGGTCTCCTTTTGTCTCACAATAGGGAAGTCCCCACATGTTCTTTGTTGTTTCACTTGAAAACAACCCCATGAAGGCGGTTTCTACAACAAGGGGTGCTATCAAAACTCGACTGCCATCAAATGCCAGAGTCAATGCACCCGTTTTCCTCGGCTAGGGATAGGCGTCTGAGTCAGACGTATCGCTTCGGGTACGTGGGATGATCACGGATCCTCGAATCCCGAGCTTAAAGAGTCACTATACGGATTGTTAATATGGATCATGACCATGACCCACACCAAGATCATAGTACACATAAGTCGTCCCCGCCCCAGTCCAGTCCTGAATTGTCGTGCAACATCCATGCATGACAAAGGTGTCCATGTTCAATCTATATATATATATGACTACAGGTGATTGCTGTCAAAGGGTGACATACGCTTGATGCCAGGGCTTTAGATTTGTGTCTTTGCACCATGAAACATGTGGGCGTGCTTGGTTTTGTGGGTAGCCTTGTTGTGTGTTTGAACGCTTTGAAGGGACACGGAGACCACCCATGTCAGGTGTGTGTTCTTCTCATTTTTGAGAGACCACCACATATCAGCGGGTGTGTCGAATGTTTGGTGCCCGGGGCTTGTTTTAGAGCTTGAACAACCTCCGAAAAAGGGGTGGACATGAATCTGCAAGTGTGCACGGAGTCCACAACTCAAACCAGTCATGCAATGGTGGGGATGGGCATCAATCAGGGTTTCAATGGGGTCCACGGGCTTACAAAACATGGCATGTTACAGGAGGGCCATGGTTCAGTGGATTTTCTCTTGATGCGTCAGGATTAGTTTTGTGAAGCCAAGGATGGCAGCATACAAAGTGAACGGAAGCATGCCACGCCGAAAGTCGGACCCAGAGTTGTTTCGGTTTGGCTGACCAATGTGAAACAATTAGCCGTTCCTGAGTCAGAGATGCACGCGCTGTTTTCGGTTCGCCGAACTTGTTTCCGGTTCCCGAGCTTGGGATATTCCGCACGAAATCCACGCGAAGTTGCCAACATGACCTACGTGGTGGGCGGCTTGACGAAACACTTGGTCCGGAACGTTTGATTGAACCCAACATGGACACTGAAAAGGAACCAACAAGGAATCCGCAAGGGGAAGCCCAAAGGAAATCAAACCAACATGCAACCGAATAAGCAAGAAAGCAAGCAAGAAAGCGAACGAACAATCAAAAAGACAAACAAACAAACAAACAAACAAACAAACAAACAAACAAACAAACAAACAACGAAACAAACAAAGGACGAAACTTGCAAAAAACAAGCAAACACGCCAGCAAACCAAGAAATTAACTCAAGAAGCCAAGAGGAATCCCAGTTCGCGGTGCCCACCAGGGCTCAAAGCTCTTCCGCCTCTTCCCGCCGGCTGCGGCGCCCTACCTGCGGCCTCTCGGGGGTTGGCGCCTGGGCCGCGAGATGAACTAGATGGCAGCTGTTTGTTTTGGTTGGTGGTCAGTTGGTTTGAAAAGAGATGGCGCTGGTTTTGTTCTTTGGGTCCAATCAATTGACCAGTGCCATCGCTTGTTTTTCAAAAGGACACCCACGTAGACGCTGCCTCTCCTCGCGGTTCATATGGTGGCCTTCCCCTTTTGGCCGCAGGGTAGGGCGAGAAACCAGATCTGCAGTTTTTCGGAGCGCGGGGTGATCTGCGATTTGTTTTCAGACCCGTCTAGCACTTGGCTGTTCCCATGGTGAGGTTTTTGCCTTGAAGATCCCTTCGAGGACTCGAGGCATGTTTTTGGGCAGCTATGTTTCAGGCAACCCTTTCGGTTTGGATTGGCTTGGATTGCTCGTGTTTCAGGCCCCGAATTGGTGGTTGGATTAACGTTTCGGAGGTAAGCCGTGGATCCAAGAGGGTCAATTTGGGAAGACACACCCCTGAACCACACCGCCGGGGCCTCGCAGGTTCTTTTTGGCTTGGAGATCTCGAGTCGCCAGGCTGCCGGCGGCGGCCTGCTGGCTCAGCGGCGTTGTGCCTGCGGTGGGAGCCTCAGAGCCTCAGCGCCTCAGCGCCGCGCCCGGTGTCCTGGTTTCCTTTTCACAAGAAACACCACCCTGAAACACCCATTTCCTGATCCAAACCCTTGTCATGACTTCCTTTGAGATCAACTCCAAAAGACTCAAATGCCAACTGTTTCTTATCTCGGGTCTTTCTCCTCTGGGGTGGGGCTCTAAATGCCAGACACGGGTTTGCTTAGCCTCATGAACCATGGTCTCCACCAGTCTGTTTTTGAAGGTCCAATAACTGTGAAGCATCGATTGAACATATCTTGCACCAGACTCGGCTCGGTGAAAGGCTCGGTCGGGGCACAAAACTCTGGGTCGATTGGTTGTTTTTGTTTAGGCGGTGTGTGTGTGTGTGCGTGTGTGTGTGTGTGTCGGGTACGCGTTGTTGACCTTTTCCCGGTGCTCATCTCAGTTCTTAAGAATTGCAGCCCTTCTACGACATGCATATATGGGGCACATGTTACTCACTGTGCGTGTGATCACGGTAGCGGCTGATCGTGCCGAGTCTGCTTTCCGCTTCAAGCGGATCGGTATAGAGAATGTGAGCGACACTCAATCTTTGCTATACTTCACTGAAGTCAGGGGGTGACCATTGGGTACACTCACCAAACTACCATTAGGTCCTTGAGGATAAATACTTTCTAAAATCCCATGTCAGTTGGTGACACATGAAACATGGACCGTGGCTGATGTGTTTGCCGACATACAGTTTGGGAAGCTTGGCAAGTCAAGGAACTACATTTCGCGGTGTTTCTTGTTGTCTGACCAGAAAGATCCCTAGAAAGAATGGGGCAAGTGCAATTGGCTAGGCTTTAAACTTGCTCCAAATACAAAAAACGGTGGCTTTCCGACTGGTTCTTCGAAACAATCCCCAAAAAAGGTGTGCGTGGGTGCACGGGTGCGTGGGTGCGTGGGTGCGTGGGTGGGCCGGTGGGCCGGTGGGCGGGTGGGTGGGTGTGCGGGTGTTTTTTAGGGCACCTCCTTTGCGGGTTGTTGTAAAGGGAATCCAAAAGCACACCCCACTATGGGAAATCCCGCATAGTTACTATTTGGATATAATTTCATCACAAGTTGTGTCGATAGTCTGAAGCTTCTCGGTACTTTCTCCCATGTTTCTAGCACCTTCCCGTTTTTCCTGGGGACACCTTGGAACTTTCGGCCAGGTCTACTCAGCCGCGGACGCCTTTCAACCCCTTCCCGGGCCCAAGCCGCTGGACGTGCAGCTGCAAGCAGGCGCCGTCGATGGCGTCGCGTCGCTTTGCGCTATAGTCTAACAATAGTAATAGAAATATAGAAACTTTGAAACACCCAACATGCCCTGACATTCGCAGGGTGATGATCATCTGGAATCTGACTGCGAAACCCCCTCCATGTCCAATGCCATTGGCTTGATTTTTCCAGGTTTCCAAGTTTGGGATGTACAAGGATATGCATTCATCCTTTGAGCGGCATGCTTTTTTTTGGCTGCCTGGCAAACATTACCCTGGGTTTGGGGTTTGGCCAAATACCTGCAGCATATTTCATCCGCCTTTGGTTTTCGTTTGGTTTGCTTCACTCATTCATGTGTATGTTTCTTTGCTGCACCAAAGCAAGCCTCTCTCGAGACCGCCCACCCCGAACCAAGAGGAGTACGCAGCCGTCAAAATCGGGCTTAGTGGCTTCATATCCCAGCGCCTGGCCCTAGGTGTCCTTTTGGTCCAATCTTTCACCTTCATTTGGCCATCAACCAGCCCATCAACCAGCCCTGTTGCCTGAAGAGTTTGTTTCCCCCGACAATGGGTTGAACATGCCAAACACCCAAAAGGGGTTAACAAAAATGCTGCTTGAACCGGAGATGCATTGCCCAGAGCTTGGTGTAATGTGTTTGTTCTTTACAAACAGTGGGTGTTGCATCGTTCTTGTTTAACAACAACCCAATGCATTTTCTGTTTGCTCCCCTACAGATTAACATGGAACCAACAAAACGGCCATTTGTAGAGGAGTCTCCATTTGGGGCCCGCCGTTTTGTGAGGGAGTACCCCCAAGCCGGAGCCGGCCGAGGGCAGGGCCTGTATCTGCCGGCGGGCTGGTGGCACGCGGTGGTGGGCTCACAGGAGACCGAGGGCTGGGTCACCCAACCAAATCCTGCCTACCAAAAAGTGAGGTTTCCTCGAGTTGCTTGGGGTTTCCTCTGCAACTCCTTGGTGGCAATCCCACAGGCCCATATGGGATTGGCTGACACTCCCATTTGCCTACCGTGCATTGACAAATTCATGCACGAGTCGGTAGGTGGTCTATCCCAATATCTATAGGGTTTCATCCTCCCAGTGGTGCTGGATTTTCGCAGTATGACCCCAGGATGGCAATGAACCATTCAACTCGTTTTTTTGAGGGAACCCCAGGTTCATTCCCCAAACTCATGTTGATTCCCTACCCGGATGCCAATCCCTACCCACGAGTGGGAGGTTCATTCTCAAAATTCCCTACTAAGAACAGACATCCCCAGCCCTAAGGAATGTAAGAGAGAGGTCCCTGTCCACAGTCTTTTTTCCCGAAAGCATCGCGAAAGAACAGACGCCCCAGCCCTAAGGAATGTAGAGAGAGCCAAGTTACATCCCCCAAGTTACATAGAGCCAAGTTACATAGAGCCAAGTTACATAGAGCCAAGTTACATAGAGCCAAGTTACATAGAGCCAAGTTACATAGAGCCAAGTTACATAGAGCCAAGTTACATAGAGCCAAGTTACATAGAGCCAAGTTACATAGAGCCAAGTTACATAGAGCCAAGTTACATAGAGCCAAGTTACATAGAGCCAAGGTTAGGTAGAGCTTAGAGCTTCGGCGTTAGCAGCTATGTAAGTTAGTTTAGGTTTCTAAGGCGCTGGGGCGGGAGTTTGATCGTCGCTCGGGATTGCGACCCTCTGCGGAGATTCGCGTGGTCGAGGTTCAAAAACTGAGGACTTTTTACGATTTTTAGCATGCGCGCGCGACCCTCTGCGGAGATCGTGCGCGTCGAAGCGCTCTCGCTGTGGCGCCGTGCGAATTTGTTTTAGTCTCGGCGAAACCTCTGCGGAGATTGTGCGTGTCGAAGCGCTCTCGCTGTGGCGCCGTGCAATATTCTTGCTCGCGAAACGGCCTTTGGAAGTTGTCTCGTGGTTTGCGCGCCTGCTTTCGCAATCCCGCGGTCGCGGGTTCGATTCCCCCCTGGTCCGCGGCAGCTCCGGCTTGAAAATCGCAGCTTTTAAGTACAAACGTAGTACGCGGAGCGTGCTCCTGCAGCTCCGGCTGGAAAATCGTAACTTTTAAGTACAGACGTAGCGCGCGGAGCGTGCTCCCGCAGCTCAGGCTGGAAAATCGCAACTTTTAAGTGCAAACGTAGTACGCGGAGCACACCCCCGCAGCTCCGGCTTGAAAATCGCAACTTTTAAGTACAAACGTAGTACGCGGAGCGTGCTCCTGCAGCTCCGGGTGGAAAATCACAATTTTTAAGTACAGACGTAGTATGCGGAGCGTGCTCCCGCAGCTCAGGCTGGAAAATCGCAACTTTTAAGTACAAACGTAGTACGCGGAGCACACCCCCGCAGCTCCGGCTGGAAAATCGCAACTTTTAAGTACAAACGTAGTACGCGGAGCGTGCTCCTGCAGCTCCGGCTGGAAAATCGTAACTTTTAAGTACAGACGTAGCGCGCGGAGCGTGCTCCCGCAGCTCAGGCTCGCAACGCAGCTCAGGCTGGTACAATCGCGTTAGTGCAAAGCAGCTAGAAAATCGCAACTTTTAAGTGCGTAGTACGCGGACACACCCCCGCAGCTCCGGCTTGAAAATCGCAGCTTTTAAGTACAAACGTAGTACGCGGAGCGTGCTCCTGCAGCTCCGGCTGGAAAATCGTAACTTTTAAGTACAGACGTAGTGTGCGGAGCGTGCTCCCGCAGCTCAGGCTGGAAAATCGCAACTTTTAAGTGCAAACGTAGTACGCGGAGCACACCCCCGCAGCTCCGGCTTGAAAATCGCAACTTTTAAGTACAAACGTAGTACGCGGAGCGTGCTCCTGCAGCTCCGGGTGGAAAATCACAATTTTTAAGTACAGACGTAGTATGCGGAGCGTGCTCCCGCAGCTCAGGCTGGAAAATCGCAACTTTTAAGTACAAACGTAGTACGCGGAGCACACCCCCGCAGCTCCGGCTGGAGAATCGCAACTTTTAAGTACAAACGTAGTACGCGGAGCACACCCCCGCAGCTCCGGCAGCACTTGCGCAGAGCAACTTGCGCACATTCACTTGCGCAGAGCAACTTGCACAAAGCGCTTGCGCAGAGCAACTTGCACAGACCAACTTGCACAGAGCACATGCGCAAAGCGCTTGCACGGAGCAACTGGCGCAGAGCCCTTGCGCAGAGCAACTTGCTCAGAGCACTTGCGCAGAGCAACTTGCACAGAGCAGGCGCAGAGCAACTTGCACAGACCAACTTGCGCAGAGCACATGCGCAAAGCGCTTGCGCGGAGCAACCTGCGCAGAGCAGTTGCGCAGAGCAACTTGCTCAGAGCACTTGCGCAGAGCAACTTGCACAGAGCACTTGCGCGCAACAGCTTGCAGAGAGCAACTTGCGCGCATCAGCCTGGAACAATGCAGCTTGCGCAGACCACTTTCGTGAGAAATCGCGCGGCGCAGTTCGAGAGGAAAGTAGGATGATGAGATGGAGCTCTCATGTGACCATACACACTGAGCATCGCCGCGCGCAGACACGCTCGCCGCAGCGATGTAAAAAGGTGTCTCCGCAGCTGGATGAGCACCTGTGGCAAAATGCTTTCGGGCCAATCGTCCTCTAGTTTTTTTTAAGCCGCACGGTCTGCTTTGGTAAATGGACAATCATGTAGAAACAGCGGGGGCAATGTACCACTCAAATTCCGGCACAGGTTGGAGGGTGCTGGCGGTGGAGTTAGTGCTTCTGTTGGAACGAAGTTCCCATGGGAAAGACCGGGGAAGTTGCTAAATTTATGTTGGAATCGTAGGTGGGCCCGGTTTCTGGTCATGGTTCGTCCCAAAGATCCAGCTTTTCAGGTCCAGGCGAGTGATAGCCCCTGACCAATGCACCAGTCGTCAAGAAGGAGTGTTAGTGCGGGGCCGTGTGATTCCTGTGATGGCTGGGCAGTCACCCTGCGGATGCTCAGGGTCAGCTGTGACCGCTGCTGTGGCCGTCAATTCATGCAGGAGCTCCAATTAACAATTTGACAACTGCACGCCCTCCAACATAGTGGTGCAGGAGAACACCGCAATGTATACAGGGCTCGCGGACTAAAATCTACCGCGAGGAGTCTTTTCAGAATCGTGCTTGTTCTCAGATTGTGAGCTTTTCGCGTGGGCATGTTGAAGCGAGCTACATCTTGGTTTGAGCCGTTTGTTTCCATTGGAAGGCCCCAGAAGGGGTTGGTCCCTAGTGTTTGCTCACCGTAGGGATTTAACTTCCAGAGTGAGCTGCAACAAGGTGGGGCAGATTGGCAACGCGTTTCCAATCCCATTGTTCATGTATGTCCAAGCTTGCAAGGTCATTATGTTCCTCCAAATCACCCAAACAGGGTACAAAAGATAGACAAACCCATGGGGTCCTTCCAACTAGGTCCTTGAAAAAGGAGAATCTCATGAGTATGATTGGTTCAAAAGCATAAGCATGCCAAATTAATGAAAGGAAGCTTTTACCATGACCCCTTCCACTTCCTTTGGAGCTGGCAGAAAAAGTTGAAGATACCATTTTGCCAGAGAACCCCCATTTTTGGAGAACCCCATTTTGCCCGGGAGAAGAACCCCATGTCGTTGTTCACGGCCAAAGAGATGAATCCCCAAAAAACCGAATTCCCCCGAGAAAGCGGCTGCGTGCCACCCCGCCCCCCCGTTTGGGCGGCGGCGCCTAGTGGCTTTCCCTTTGCGGGTCGCGACATCACGGGTCTTTGAAGGATGGATTTCACACCTACATCTGGTAGATGTGTAGTTTGTATATCCCCAACAAGCCGTTGGTAATATATGATATGAGACTTCAAGCGCCGTGCGAAATCTCCCGACATCGAAGCCAGTCTGTTGCAGTTCCCGCCAACTCATCAGCGGGCAAAAGCGTCGGCGCCGACCAGGAGCCCAACATGGCCATCGTCTTCGGCTATGTGGGGCGGCTCAGAGCTTTCAGCTGTCGTTCCGGAAATCCGATTGCCGCGGGCGCCCGAAGGGTTTCTCATTGGACCAAGGGCTACTTTCACCAAACAAGGAAGGGTTGAGATGCTGACGTGGAGGTCAGTTCACAGGTGATGCTCCTTGCCTTTTGAAAGATGCGAAACCTTGCCCAGCGGAGATGATTCTCCGCAATTGGTCGAGCGGCATTGCCCGCAGCTGTGGTCCAAAAGTGTCAACTCGTTCTTTTTGTCAAGGTCCCAAACACAGCGATGGCCATTTAGGTTGGAACCAGAGCCATCCTCAGCGCGGTGCGAAGTAATCCATGTCTGCCGCGGTGGAGAGACGTGCTTGCTTGGGGTTTGCAGGTGGGTTCTTAGGGAGCCATGACCATGGCCCACGGGATTTGTCCTTGGCGCAGTTCCTTTGAGCCTGATGACACCTTTACTTTACTTGTTTGGAGGGGAACCACCTTTATGTTGATTTGAAAAGGAACACTAGCCGAAGGCCAGTCATTTCAGGTCGCGTCATGGAGACGGACCCAACCCAACTGCGGGTGTTCAGCAGGGTCTGCCCAATTTTATCAGCTCGCGATTTTGACCACCGGAGTACCACCGCAGGCTTGTGGTAAAATTCGCGTACTCCTTGTGGCAACCACCCCCCCTCCATGTTGAAGGGAAATTGGCCACCGGCTTGTTTCCGCCTGAACGTTGGCCCCTTAAGCAAAAGCATACCAACATGCAGCCCGGCCTCCGCTTTTTCATTTCTTTGACTTGCGTGAACAGGGTATAAACCCCCTTCTTCCCCGGTTTCCTCGAATAAAGTCCTCCTACTGGGGCCGAATTTTGGGGAAGCAGGAAAGTGGGGAGGGTCTGGTCCAAGTGACTCTTTGGCCTCTCGCCCCTTCCCGTTGAGGCGCCCCATGAGAGCAAGGGTGCCCGCTACTTCCAGAGCTGGCTGCATCCGTTCCTGGGAAAAATGGCGAGCTGAGAGCAGCCCAAAGTCAACAGTGGCATCAAGGATCAACCTGCTGAATCGGTTCACCCTCTGGTAGCCTCTGCTACCTGGTCAAAACACCCGCTTAGTAGATGGTGATACATCCTCAAGACACCCTTTGCGATTTGTAGAAATGGTTATCAACTGTGTAAGGGTTTTGACAGCCACAAGAGCTCAGTGGCATGCCACTTCGTCAGACTCTGCCCCCTCTCCCCCCCCCCCCCCGGGAAAAAAAAGAAAAACACGTGGTTTAACAGACCTCATAGTAGTCCGTCAACCGGGTTTTAGGCTCTTTTGATCACCCAGTGTGGAAAACAACGGGAGGCAACAACCAACAACTGTGTGGAAAATCACGGGTTTTTCGGTGAGCGAGCGAAAAACGCCCGATAGGAAGCAAGTTCCAAGAAACCTTGCCGCAGAAAGTAGATGTCCTTAATTGGGTGTTAACGGAAACTTGGGGGTTGCCACAAGAGAGAGAGAGAGAGAGAGAGAGACACAGCCTATTGACTCGAAACATCAATCGAAAGGTGCGCTTGATCCTTAGATTGGTTGGTCCATCCTTGGCTCATTCCCAGGCACCTTCGCCCGCTTTGAACAGCATGGTGCGTTTGCGGGTTGGAAAGAAACACATCTAAACTTTGCATCACATTCCCATTCTCGGGACCTTTGTGCCAGCTTTGCAGGTCCAGTAAGGAACTACTAGGGAACCTGCAAACTACTGGATACACTGCCGGCAGTTCCCACCTCACTCAGCACCGGTAGCAAGCCTCAGCCGGCGACTCTTTGACATGGTGTTTTGTTTTTGGCATTCCCATGGTCCCGAACATCTCCAACCTGTATTTCCAGGCTAAAGATTCTCAGCGAAGGTTGTTTTCAGCTGAGTGACAGTTCTTTGTGTCTACGTCCGGCTCACCAGTCGTTCACGGTTCGCGCGAGAAGGCGCGGTGGCTTTGGGGGTTAGCGGAAGCCAGCTAGACAGCCTTTGGGACCGGCAGAAGTAGCCAGCTGCCTTGCCGCAGGACTGAGAAAATCAGATTTGTTGGCGGTTTCAAATTGACGGAGTTCTTCAAAAAAAACAGCCGTTTTCAGGATGCTGTTCAGAATTATCCAAGGGTGATTGGGTTGATTTATCTGGAAGTCTTAAAGAACCCAATGCCTTCATCGCCAGGAATTTGCTGCTGTGCAAGAAGATGGTGACATGGAAGAGGACGTTGGGCCCAGCGATTGGCAGGAGTCGGGCCAGTCGCGCTGGCTCTGGCTGAGGCCAGGCTTGTGCAATTTGTCCGAACAACTTCTTGAGACCGATCGGTTGATACTTTCTTGAACAGATTGAACCCTTTGACTCCGTTTCGGCTGAACTTTGAATTGTAGGACTTTTTCATTCGAGTGATTTTTGCTTTGTTTGAGTTGTTTCTTGTTTTTGTTATTGTTGCTGTTGTTGTGTGAAGCCAAACATTTCCACGACTACTCCACTACGTTTTCTTCGGCCGCCTATAGCCTATGGCCAAGTCCCCATGGGCCGTGGGGTCATCGCTTGCGAAAAGATCAAATCACACAGTTGATCATCAGACAATCAACTCAAACATACTCAAACCGTAAAATTCGACACAATTCAACCATTCAGAATCAACCGATTCAAAACCAAATCTCAGGCTTGATGCCTTTCTTTGACGTTCGTCTGGAGGAGGAGGTGGTGTCAGCTTTGAAGCAACAACTGATCGGGATATCTGGCTGGTTGGAGTTGTTCACACTTCAGTTGTTTAGGGCGAACCCAACTTGAAAGTCATCGTGGTCACCCGGTTGCGTTTTATCGTTTTCCTGATGTCAAAAAGTGAAGAACCTCAAACTTACCTTGAGCACTTGGAGCCATGGTTTCCCAATAGTCTGGAGGCGCATCATTGCATCATTGTGGTTTCACCATCTTTTTTGTTGCTTGAGGGTATTGGTAGCTCCTTAGCTGACCAGCGTGGATTTTTTTTTTCGCCAATCTGTTGGGAAAGATACACCCCGAGTGGATCGCCTTAAGTGGGGGGGGGCACTTTGGGGGTGAAGCTTCTCGCCAGGAAACACTGAAACTCCAGGCTCGTCGTACGGTGTCTGGGTCGGTGAATGTCTTGCCGATGTTGGAACAGGAAAGGTATGGAACAGCAACTAACTGTTTGATGTAAAACCAACAAAAAATGGTTCTTTGGCTGTTTCAGGATTGTTCATTGTAGTTGTTTGATGTAAACATCAAAGATCCTGGTGACCGTTTTAAAAGGTAGCTCCTGGTGACATGTTCACAGGGTGACAGCCGGTTAAGCTTGGATGGATTCTTGATGACACAGAGAATAGACCACTAAAAAATAGATGTTTTTCACTCTTGAACTCTTTATATGATCTTATGACCCGGGAATGTTCATGGATTTTATCACCAACGGACCAATCATAATGAAACTTCTGCGGGATCAGAAGCTTCGTCTGGTTTTAGGTCTCACGGCTGTACCATTGGTTGGTGCTGCTGGGCTTAATGCTGGCTGCGGGACTGGACTTCAGCCGCTACACCAGCGACGTCACCCATGAGGCTTGCCAAGCTTGCCGAGAAGAAGTGATGGTTGAGTTTTTGTTGATAATACCGGTAATTATATTTAACACACAATTGTGAATATTAATTCTTATTCTAAGTAACTTTGCCAGGTATTCTCATTCTTCATATTCTGTAATATATATATATATATATTCTTTCATGTGGCGTTGTATTCACAGCGGTTCTGAGGACTTTGATTCTCGGGGATTGCCACCCTTGACTACAGACCTGGCTCTTATGATCAGCGCATGCATGGTCTTGAGCAGTTGGGGCGGTTTTTGGTCCTACAAGGTGCGACTTTTTGCGGCTGGGCAGTATTTGACCAGCCAAAGTTTAGCGTCAGCCATTTCCATCGTTTTTTCTGGGTTTCTGAAATTCGGGCAGGAAACCACCGACCGAGTGGCTTCAAGTTGCTGGTCCAGCATGGAGTTCTTTTCGGAGCCTGGTTGAACATCCCTTCAGACTGGCTGGCAAAACGCTGTAGCAAAGCCCCAACAAATCTTTAGGACTTTTAATCATTGATCTTGGCACAAAAAGGATGTCAAACCCCAGCAGCAGTTCCTCCATCGTCCGCGCCTCGTCTTTATGCTTCGCCCGGAGTGGCTTTTTCAGGTTCTCAAGACTT